AAATCATTAACATCGTAATTATCAGCGTTTGAATTTCGGAGGCATTTTAGTTACTTAGCAAAGTTGACAAATAACAGTTTATCTTGTTTTATAGAAGATTAAGCAACGCGAGTGTACCCTATAATAACTGTTAAAGTTGTTTTGGTCGGCTAGACCTCTAACTTTGGGGCATATTACAGGGATAAGTGTGTATTTAGTGGGTCGTAACCCGTTAATTTTAAAGGGATATTTATTATACGGTTATGCATTTATAATTTATACAATGATCGGACCTATTAGAATTTAAAACGAGTGTGTAATTAAATTTATATCTCAATGTTCGTGATTAAATTAAGATATTAAGACGCATATAATTATTCATTGAATAACCGTATGCAAACTATACAAAAGATAAATTAATACCATCGAAAGCGTATTATATTATAACGCGTGTATCAATGACATAATTGATGTAATTAAAAAGGGTTTAAATGCATAAACCCATTTTTTTTTTTAGTGCACATATTATTTATACCAAACATTATCAAATTTACCTATTTTTTATGTAAAAAATAAAAACAAAGTTTGCTTTAACCACCGGTATCCACCTATAATATTATGTCGTAATCAAAGTATAACTAAAACATTGTATATAAATTCTACAATTCAGTCCACTTTATAGGAGTATAATATAGTGACACTGCGATACATTGAAGGACAGACAAAATATGTGTCAGAACTATATAATTATATACTAATATAATGAAAATATAATAATTGTTATAGTATACTAAACGATGTGCTGGGAACGTCGTTATAATATAAGGACGTCCAGTAAATATTGTATAATTTTATATCTATACTCGCGCAGTTATGTCTGTATAGTATGTCGTATACGCCACTCAAAGACTTGGCGTGTATAACAGGTATACTTTTGGTTTCCGATTCCCAAACCGTCAAACGAGTAAGTTATCGACACCTGCAGTATAAGCTTATTTAAGTTCTCCTTTTGGTGACCACGATAACGAGTACTGCACAAAAAGATAATTAAATAAGATACAACAAGATTTACACTATATAAGATATAACTCTAAGGTTACTTTACTCTCGAACAACTGACCACGATAACGAGTACTGGATGTTCGAGGGTGAGATATCTTTAACCTAGGCAAAGTATTACATTTTCTCGACTGACCACGATAACGAGTACTGGACGACAAAGTAAGTACTACAATGTCTTGTTACATTTTTCGATAGTGTTGTACACCATAATTAATGTCTCCGTACGCACACGTGAGAACGTAAAATAGATCACTCTAGAACAGGAGTAAAGAAAACAAGTAACACCTTTTTTTAAAAAAACATAAGGTTCGAAATATAATAAAAAATCGATGTTTCCAAAAACAAATAATTAAAAGAAAAGAAAACTGTTGTCGTTCACATCGGCACCTTGCCGATGAATGAACAGCCCCGCTTCCGTAGTTGGTGTCGCCTTAAGTAGCTATTCATATTTTGTTGACTCGGCATCCTTGACGTCTGCTTCGTATGTGGTCATTTAATTTGTGATCGGATATTAAAATATTTATAATAAGTGTTTTTGTTTTTTATTGTTATGTATATAACATGTATATACAACAAGTACGAAGATTATATACTATTGTTTTGGCAATGGTTTTTCAAATCGCCCTCGTGCGACCGCCTGCAGGTCTGTAATGCCAAATGCGTGTGGGTGTCGTCTCCTCGTGCTGCAGTTTCGGATTAATGACTTTGCCGCCGTTTACTGCGCATCGCCACTAGCGGCACAATATTTTCTAAATTCATACGCGTAATTTTTTTTATTTATTCAAACGGCCCTTACTCTGATGACGTGCGCCTATTGTTGCGAGAGAGGGAAAAAATACGACAACACAAAACGTATATACATATGGTATATAATAAACTTATATTATGTATATTATGTGTGCGAATACTAGAATCTATTTCGTACAAGAGTGGAAAACGGCGTCGTCGGCGGATCGAATGAGAAAAAAAAAATCTCAGTTTTAATCGCATTCAACATTCTGCTCAGTTTTTCATCGAATTTTCTCCCTTTTTATGTATATACGAAAAATAGCTGACAATACATCAGTCCTTATAGAGTGTAGTCAGAAATCTCCATCTCTGCAGCGTGCACGCCAAATGGCTCTTCTCGCGTGGCGAACGTGCGCATATCGTAATAAATCCATCCGATTCACCGTGTTCGTTTCGATCGGGTCTGACGACGGAAAACGACTTCTTTCAGTCGTTTCCCATAGGCGGTTTACCCACCCATACACGTGTGCGAGCATGCATTGTTATAAGGGCAAACTGTGGGCATGACATTTTGTCGGGCTGCTAAAATATTATGGATGGAAACAACCGCTATTAGCCATAAGTATTGGTATTATTCGAGTAATGAGTTTAGTACACACACACACTCGTCGTATAACAAATACGCAAACTCTATTGTAAACATTATAGTCATATAATAGTTAATTCCATACAACAATATACCCACTTATTAGGTGCCTAATATACTCGGTTAAAATGCTTTCGACGCGATCGCGGGCCCATTTTTTTTTCGGCATTTCATTATATAATTAAGCCGGTGAAACACGATTGCGCCCGTTTTACCTATTTACCTACAAAAACCGCAACACGATTGCGCTCCGTGAAATATATATGTCTTGCCCTTATAAATATAGGTCTTTGCCATTGGGCATACACTTTTTAAAAATACAGTCGAAGTGGTAAACTCAAAGTTGAAGTTAAAAGTTCGAGTTAACCAAGTTCGACTGTATTATACTATATATTTTAACAATTTTCCTTCCCAATTTTACAGGCTTAGGACTGACAACAAAATTAAATTGTTGGCTTGGTTAAAAATTGTTTCTTATAAATTTTTTTTACAATATGTCCAAAAAAACTCAATACAATTACGAAAACTACGAATTTCATTTTTTTTTTTAATAATAATATTATATGCCCACATTAGTAGGTACCTATACACTATTAATACATTTTTTCTAAATTATACTATATCCAATTATCTATAAAAAAAAACTCAATACAATTACGAAAACTACGAATTAAATTTTTTTTTAATAGGTAATGATATTATATGTCCACAATAGTATACACTATTGGTATTATTCGAGTAGGTAATGAGTTTAGTACACACACACACACACTCGTTGTATAACAAATATGCAAACTCTATTGTAAACATTATAGTCCTATAATAGTTAATTCCATACAACAATATACCCACTTAATAGGTGCCTATTGGCAATTATACTCGGCTAAAATGCTTTTGACGCGGGACCATTTTTTTCGGCATTTCATTATATAATTACGCGCCTGTTTATTTAATTTTTCTTTTACGCACAACAATGCTGCAATAATAAAATAATAACGTTCACACGGCGTTTGTGACAGGCAATTTAACTGCACCGCTGTGGTGGTCGTGGATACGTTTTTTATCGGTACCTACTTCCTTAATATGGGTGGTAAGTATATAGTTGGTATGGTTTTCGAATAAAAAAATATAGTATATTTCGATGGTAAAATCACATTCGGCTTGCCTCGGCTTTGTGCAGGATGGTCGGCTATTTACGTAATTACTAAACGACGACTGCCGCCGGCATTGACGTTTAAAATTAAAAAATAAATCACAGTTTCGATTGTTGTGGGTATGTTCTTTGCGCTTCGCCCCTCCCCCCTCAAATTCACGCTGATGCGAAGTGACTGCTCGACACGACGAGGGCCCTGCAGTATATAAATCGAGAGAAATAGAGATAAAAAGAAAAAGAAAATGCCACGGTGAAATGGGCGAACGATGACGAATCGAGTATGTATTACTTTTCTATATACTTATTCGTTATGTCCTATATTATATGATATAATACAGTAGTCCTCAACCTGGGTAACACGGACCTAGCTTAGGGGTGACGCAGAATTTTAACAAGAAAAGAAAAAAAATTCAAAAAATTAATTTTTTCGAAAACAATCATATTATTTCTTATAATAAATATATTATACACCTATACCACCACTGACATGTACATAACATAAAACGTCAACGTCTTGAACATGCTTTTTTTGTGTACTGTATTTTTTTTGTTTTTAATAAAAGAAGAATTTTAAAATATACAGCTAAGATTGTTTATTATTTTGATTTTAGGGCGACGCAGTGCAGTTTGATTCTAGTGGCTAAAGGTGACATAGATCAAAAATTGTTGAAAACTACTGATATAATGTGTTGTAAGTGTACAATGGAAATTGCGAGAGTAACTGCGGAACTGCGGCGCACGTAGGTGCTTGTATGTATATAATGATTTATATACCTATATAACTTCGGTATATATGTACATGAAAAACCTTTGGTATATAATAATGCGCTCTGTCCTAAACGTATAATACACGTATGTACATGTATACGTGTCGGTGATGATGATATTTTTTTTTTTTTGTTATCGTGTACATAATATATAAGTATATAAAACGGAATATTATATAGGTTTTCGTACGAAGTATATACGAAAAGTTTACCGCCGACGACTCGACCGTGGTAGATCGACGATCCGTGTATAATATTGTTATATTTATATACATACAATAATATATATATATGTATAAGGAAATAATATAATATATAGGTATATACACGCGACGGGCATTTACTATTCCGAGCGCGATTTCTTTCTCACCCTCCGGCGGCTTGTATTTGCACCCAATATAATCGAATTCACGGGTACACACGGAGAAAAAACTAAAAGAGACCGGTATACGATTGTCCCTGTAAATATTGTATGCGCACAATACGGATGTGCGTGTGTGTGTGTGTATGTAGGGTGCAGGCGCGGATCCAGGAATATTTTTTTGGGAGGGCCGGTAAATTTAACCACATAAGATAATGCAGTAAAATTAAGATTTAATAAAGAATAATTTTCAATTAATTATAAATATAATAATAGTTAAAAAAAATATATATTGAAATACAGTTACATGGAAAAATTTAACCTTCTTAACTTATTACTAGCAAATTCATTTAAAATTTCGTCTGGATTTTGTATTAACTCTTCACTTTTTTCTCGTTCAATCGATAGCAGAGCTAGGTTGCGTAAACGTTTTCCGGTCATGGTCGATCTATTATACGTTTTAATTCTCCTCATTGTAGAAAAACTCCTTTCAGCTGTAGCACTTGAAATTGGAATAACTAAAATTCGTCTGTACACTTCTTCTAGCTGTAAGAATGATGCCCCCATGCTTTTAATTGATAAATAGGCTTCTATAGAATTTGAATCTGCAGCAAACATTTTTTTTCCTAAATCACATTGTGCTCTCAACTTTTCAATAAATTGATTATCTGTAGAAATTCCTGGCAATTTTATAAGTGTGTCAAAGTCTAAAAACATTTTGGAGCTTGGATTACAGAGCTTGAATAACTATTTACTATAATAATATAACAATCTACGTGTATATACTGTACATATAGGTATTAGGTATGTACAGTGGAACCTCGATAAGTCGAACCTCGATAAGTCGAAAACCTTGATAAGTCGAAAAAAATTCCGTCCCCTTGCGAAAACCTCGATTACTCGAAAAAAAAACTATAGATAACTCGAACATTCTGTGCTCCGAATATGACGGATAATGACAGATAATTTTATAAACATTTGTCTAATCGGCTTGTCCGTTCCGATAATTTTATCTAATCTTCATTGTTTCAATGAAGCAAGCAACAGCAGCCCTCATATTGCTAAGGACATTCACCGAACAATTGAGTAATGTGGACGATAAAGTGTACTCTGCTTTAAATGTAATAGAAAATACAATTGATAATAGCAAATCTCAAATTTTAAGTCAAAGTAAAATAATAAATTATCTTTTATAAAGTTGCAACACATGTTTTATTATATTTTTTTGTAATAATTTTTTTATTTAAATAATCTGTATAATCACATTTTTTCACATTGTATATACATATATACTAGGTACATAATAATTAAAACTTTAATACATAGGTACATACATTTTTAAAACTCTTTAAGTCGAATTTTTTTTCTAAAACCTTGATAACTCGAAAACCTTAGTAAGTCGAAAACCTTGATAAGTCGAAAAAATTGTATTTCCCTTGAATTTCGACTTATCGAGGTTCCACTGTATTTGTTTTCGTGTAAGTATTCAATAATTGCGCAAACAATTTGTTAAATATAAAATAAATGGTTATGCCTTAATAAATAGCTAAAAACAAAATAAAACTTACCTATTTGATGTATATGCTCAGCACATCAATAATTCATAGATGGATTTCCAACAAATTTTAATATTTAAATTATTTAATTAAAATTTGGATTCAGGTATCGCGTATTGGAAGTTCACAGCAGACAGAATAATATTACGAGTACACGTGTGACCGTGACGTGTTATCTAAAATAACAACTTGAATGCCAATCTTGAAAATTAAAATTATTGTTCTTAAAAATTTTGGGTGGGCCCGGCCCACCCTCTGAATCCGCGCCTGGTAGGGTGTATAGAGAGAGAGATCGAACACGTATACACTCGATTTCGACCGCGTCGAATTCGTCGTTTTAAGCGATATTTCTCACGCGAAACAGTGGTCCAAAACGACTTGCACATAACATATATTGTGAATCGTACATTATGCACGCGTGTAAAAAACACGTGTAGAGAAAAAAGCATATAAAAAATGTAGGTACGACTAATTTCAACGGTCTCCCGGTGTTCGTTCGGTCGGTACTCGGCAATAAACCACGCTTTATACCCCTAGGTAGGTATATAT